TTTTCACTTTGACCTGTCTCAGTCCCTGTCCAAACTCTCTTAAAAATCTTATGTATTTCCTCAGTAGAAGACTACAGTCGGCTCGGCGCCTATGGCTCAGCCGGCTAAGGCGCCAGCCACGTACACCTAAGGTGGCGGGTTCGAGTCCCCAGCCCGGACCCGCCAAACAACAATGATGGCTGCAACCAAAAAATGGCCGGGCGTTGTGGCGGGCGCCTGTGGTCCCAGCTACTTGGGAGGCGGAGGCAGGAGACTCGCTTGAGCCCAGGAGTTGGAGGTTGCTGTGAGCTGTAATGCCATGGCACTCTGCCCAGGGGGACAGCTTGAGGCTCTGTCTCAAAAAAAAAAAAAAAAAAGAAGACTACAGTCTACTCCAGTGGTTCTCAACCTTCCTAATGCCGTGATGTATTTTCATTGTTACAAAGGGGTCACAACCCACAGGTTGAGAACTGCTGGTCTACTCCATTAGAACAACAACAAAAAAAAAACGTTTAAAATTGCTTTCACGTCAACATTTTTCTATTTCATAAGGTGTGTTAGGATGTTATATGACAACATCTTTTAGATTTCTTAGAAACCCTTGTCTAGCTGATAGGGTTTATACTTGATACTATCACAAACCTTTCTGGGTCCTTAACAAAGGGTATTGTGGCCACAATCCTGATTCTTTCTTTCCCGTAAGGCCAGTTGTTCTCAACCTTCCTAATGCTGCGACCTTTTAATATGTAGTTCCTCATGTTGTAGTGACTCCGAACCATAAAATTATTTTCATTGCTACTTCATAACTGTAATTTTACTACTGTTATGAATCGTAATGTAAATATCTGATATGCAGGATGGTCTTAGGTAACCCCTGTGAAAGGGTCATTCGACCCCCAGGTTGAGAACCGCTGCCTAAGGCCATTTATTAATTGAAGCACCTAATGCAGACTGGAGACAGATGTGAAATGGTTTTATTTCCCACACCAGTACAAGCTCCAGCTCCTTTATATTTCCTCTAAATTCTGCTTATAAACTGGACGGTTCATTCTTCAGCTCACTTCACATTTGCAGACGCTATAAAATAGAAGCATTCAACCAAGCCTCAGCACTGTCTAGAGTTCTCCTTAGTCAGATCCATTTTGGATTTTTAGTCCAAATTAGACTAAAGCTGCTACAAATATTCTTTTGTCTTTCTAATTTCCAAGTTATGAAGGCACCTTTTTTTCTTTTTTTTTTGGAGATGGAGTCTCACTATGTCGCCCTGGGTAGAGTGCCATGGTGTTACAGCTCATAGCAACCTCCAACTCTTGGGCTTAAGTGATTCTCCTGCCTTAACCTCCCAAGTAGCTGGGACTATATATAGGTACCCACCACAACACCCAGCTATTTTTTGTTGTTTGGTAGGCCCAGGCTGGGTTTGAACCTGCCAGCTTTGGTGTATGTGGCTGGCACCCTAGCTGCTGAGCTGCAGCTGCCAAGCCAAGGCACCTTTTTTTTTTTTTTAACCTATTTTCTTCACTACTACCTAACATATCTCCCTGACCCCCAGGATACAATGGTAATGTCAGAAGGAAAGTATTCGATATTCACTATTAAGTTTAACATGTCTGTAGGCTTTTTATTATTAATATTTATTTTGAGACAGAGTCTCAATTTGTCACCCTGCTATGGTGTCAGAGCTCACAGCAACTTCAAACTCCCGGGCTCAAGTGATCATACAGGCGTTTGTCACAACACCCAGCTAGTTTTTCTCTTATTAGTAGAGACAGGGTCTCACTCTTGCTCAGGCTGGTCTCAAATTCCTGAGCTTAAAGGCTCCTCCTGCCTTGGCCTGCCAGAGTGCTGGGATTACAAGCATGAGCCCCCACAGCTAGCTGTAGATTTTTTTCTTCTTTAGAGACAGAGTCTCACTTTGTCACCCTTGGTAGAGTGCTGTGAAATCATAGCTCACAGCAACCTCCAGCTCTCAGGCTTAGGGGATTCTCTTGCCTCAGCCGCCCAAGTAGCTGGGACTATAGGTGCCCGCCACAACACCCGGCTATTTTTTGAAGGGCCACCCGGGCTGTAGATTTTTTTTTTTTTTT